CAAAGTCATGTACGGGAGGAGAGATCCAATAACCGCGCGAGTCGGCCTAACCTCGGACTCCATCAACGCGACACACGTGGGTAGAGGGGGCTGCCTCAAGGGACCTATGAACAAGCCTACGGTGTCTTGCAACAACCACTTTCCGCAATCTTTAGCCGCCCTGAAACTACACCCGTCGGCAATATACTGAGGGCCACATATGCGAAGCCTAGTATAGTCGCGACTTCTGGGGTTGACCCATTAGTGTGTACGCAATTCGAGCCCTTCTCCGGTTGTAATCAGGTCCTATGTCACTCAGCGAGCTCCAAATATGACGGAAATGTATATTGGTCCAATATCGCCTGAGTGATATTGGCGCCCATATTGTTTTGCCAATATATGGGTGGTCCCTCTTAACAATATTTAGGTTTTGGCACATATTGGGCCGATAATTGGATTTACGCAATATTTGCTTACTATATGAACTCATAATATGATGGCTATATTGTCAATCTATTATTGGCCTGATGATATTGATTAATTGTCCACGTATGTTCTGAAGTGGCTATATGCCGCAGCCGGCATTTAGTAAACTGTACCAGAGCGATTACTGATATCTTATTTTTTTCGACTTTAAATAAGCCTTTACAATTCTTCAAACTAGCTCGATACTGAGCGAACGAACTCCGCATCGATCACATTGAAAATATCAGACGGCGTGCCGGGCATGGTATTTGAATTTCCTAAATGCACGCAGCCAGTTATAAATTTTTGTGATTTCTCCAGTAAACAGGAGAGGTCTAGGGTAAGGGCTGCTCGGCGCTAGGCATAAAAGCACAGCAAAAATTGTTTTCGCCAATATTGGTCGCAATATCAGCTTGTATCAAGGTCGTTGGTATTCTCGATCAGTTCTAGGGAGGTAACAGCTACCAATACCCATGGGGGCTAACGGCTGTAACCTGGGTAACGCACGGGCGATTTTCTGACGGGGCCATCCCGCAGATCAAGGAAAGCCAAGAAGAGCCCCGAAAACATGAGATACTTGCGAGGGGCGACCACAAAAGAAAAAGTCGCCCTGGAATCGATTGTTCAGGTCGGCGGCCCTTGCGCTCTCTATGATGACGTGCTCTGGCACGTCGCGTTGCTCGCGACTGGCGACTGGCCTAGCCTAGTGCACGCTAAGCGCTTGCACGGTTCGCAGCGGCCTCGGTAGAATTCGATGGTACGGTGTGATCTGTCAAGTCGTTTTACCACTTTAAGCATGCATGTGTGTACTCGTACTTGTATTGGCATTCAGTCAAGAGTAGATAATACTAAGCAAGATGGGAGAAAACCCGATATCCGCGCATTTTATAACGACGATTTTTATTCATCATAATAGTTACTATGCGCACTCGAAGAAGAAAGTATGGGAGGGTGCAATTTTATTGCATCCGCCAGCCTCATGTGGCAATGCGATGCACCACTCCAAATAAAATTTGCCCACCAAGTATGAAAGAAGCAAGTGTGATAACGTGCCTCAGCTTATATGACCACCTAATCACATCACAGACTTCGCTGTACTGATATTCGTTTACTCATTTAATTCTGCTAGCCGTATGCTGTAAATCGTAGATCTTGCAGCGATGTTAATATTATCTCACGTCTAATTGATTCAATCAGGCACGCGCCGCCGACCGCGGGTATATACGTGTGTGCGCTGTGATGCCTGTGCGTCTGTGCTTGCGTGTGTGCCTGCCTCGTGCGTGCGTGCGATGTTCGTGCGTGCGTGCCGTGCGTGCGTGCAGTGGCGTGCGCGGTGTGCCTGCGGGCGTGGGCTTGCGTGATGTGCCTGCGCGCGCGTGCGGGCGCTGGCCTCGTGTGTGCGGCTGTGACCTGCGGCGTGCTTGCGTGTGTGCCTGACGCGCGTGCATGTCGTGCGCGTGCGTGCTGCATCGCGTGCGTGCGTGTCGTTGCGTGGTGTGGCTGCAAGCGTGCTATGTAACCCGTAGGACCAACGACCCGTAGGATTATAGAAGGTAATTCCATGAAAATCCTAAGTGAACATTACACACGTATAGTATTTTCCCTGCCACGGCACACCCGTGTGTCATTCCCGCAGATCTGCAGCTTCGATTGTCAATTTCCCCAAAAGAGATTGTTTGGGCTGTCTCTCGGCCTTCTCATAGCTCCAGCCAACATGCCAACCCTCTACATTGTTAGAGTGTATTAGTACCACGCTAAAACAACTGTCGCCTCCCCCCCACGCCGTACTTTTAATCCAATGTCGCCCCTGGCCAGCAGGCACGTACGCAGCGTCCAGCGTGCACACGGCCATACACACGTGGCCCGTGGCGCGCTTTCTCAACCCTGAGTGGCTTGCCTGAAAATACGCTCGCCGGGACCAAACTGGAAAGGTGAAATATGGAGGGCCTGGATAAATGAAAAGTAGCCCACGAAAGTTATTTTTTGGGGGGTTTGCAAAGAACGGAGGGGGGTGCGGACTCGACTACAACACTGCTGATCTAGATACACACCCATCAAGCTGATATTGGACCAATATTGGCAAAACAATATTTGCTGTGGCTTTATTCCCGGCAGCCGGCACCCTAACCCTAACCCTCCTGTTTACTTGAGAAATCACCAAAAATTTAAAACTGCTGGGCATTTAGGAAATCAAAGACCGTGCCCGGCAGCCGTCTGATATTTTCTAAGTGTCGATTGCGAGTTCGTTCGCTCAGTGATCCGAAGCTAGGAGAATTGGGCTTATTCGAATATACAGTTCGCTTGACATTTCTAAATGCCGGCTGCCGGGCATATAGCCACTTCAAACAATACTGGACCAATAATAATATCATCAGGCCAATATTGGACCAATATAGGCACATATTGGTTCAATATAGGCAGATATTGGTCCAATATCGGCCCAATATTGGCAAAACAATATTGGGCCAATATCACCAGGCCGATATTGGACCAATATCTGCCTATATTGACAGGACAGGACATAACCGAAATGTGCAATATTGCAACAGGGTATACTTTTTAGTGCAGTATATTGGGACAGGGTGTATTTTAGGGCGCAAAGTGGTTTGCGACAGGGTCAGGTTTTCAAGGTCCCCGAGGCACCCCCCTACCCAGTTCCGTGGAGAGTGCCCCCCGGGGCCCCCGTACCACTTTGTAGCCACAAGATCTCGCTTCTCACTATGTGACGACATGCAAACAAAGATATTGAGAATTGTTAATTTATAAATTAATAAAGATATTTATTTCATTATTTGTGCATAATTATTATTAGGCCGACCAAAAAATTACCTTTGGTTCGGGTCACCCGCCCGACTTCACATTTCTGAGTGATAAAATATGTGACTGCGGTCACTTTTAGAGGGTTTCAAGAAAAAATAAAATTCAAAGATACCGCCTGCCGATCATACATATTCAAATATCCGACTCTTGTCATTTTATTTACCTAAAGAGAGTTCCAAAATATTTATAAACAGAACTTCGTTGGCGAGAAGTGAAACAGTTCGTACCTACGTTTCCTACAACGTGAAACAGTCGTATAGAGCCTGGGTCGGCTACTTCATAAACATAGCCTGAAAGTCGTATGGCGCGGCGGCCGGCTTTGATGTACGCGATCGATCGCATACTATATAGTATACGCATGCTATCGTGCTATACGCGGCCGCAGAGCCATTTACACTTCGGTTACTCGCTCGTTCAAAGGGACGATTAATCTAGCTCTGTTTTTGGAGCGATTCCTAACCCTACTATCCAGGTGTTCACATTTTGAAAACAATGTCAGGACTTGCAGCAATGGTACATGCAACTGCAAGTCATTTGCATCTCGTGGCTCTTGCATTTAAAGCTGTATACCCTATATTTAACTTGTGAAATTTTTTTTTTATTCCTGCCTACCCATGTTTTTGCAGGAAAAAAAATAAAAAATAAAAAATGTTATAGTATACCTACCTACCTACCCTAATTTTCACAATCCATGTGACCCGAACCAAAGGTATATTTTTGTTTGGCCTTAGTAGGAATCTAGAATCACAGTGTACAATGCCATTGTGCTAGGTTACAAATATAAGATTGCAAGTGAATCATACGAATCCTGATAACAGATGACTAGTAATGGAGTAATGACCATAATAAAAAGAGCAAGATCAAAACAAGTAACTGTAAAAATTCTCCATAATGAACAACAAGCTAATGCGTGAATAAATGATAACATAATAGCAAAATATCTCGTTGTTTTCGTGATACAATAGATCTGATAATATGTTCAACAGTCAGAAGTTTCTATATACAGTCCGACCTCCTTTATCCGGCCATCCATTATCCGGAAATCTCTATTAACCGGCCGCGATCTCGCAGTGTATGTAATGTTCTTTGTTTTTCATTTATTTCCACCTAAAAATCTCGCTCAAAACTCGCGCGATGTACAGTACCAACCATACGTGTGTTTGCGTGTGAGCGTGCGCGCGCATGTGTGTGTTGTCCGCTCGTGTCCGCTATGCCTCCGGTAAAATTTCTGTTTTATTTCATTTTATTTCCATTTCATATAAGCCATAAAACACGACAGTTTGTTACAAATAATCATAGCAACAAGTAAATACATTATCACATGCATAAACCCTACTGAACTGCATAGAAATGCTGTGTTCGAGCATAACTCTCATATATCCGGCCAAATCCCATATCCGGACGGGTGCCAGTTCTGATGTGGCCGGATAAAGAAGGTCGGACTGTAATGAATAAACAACAAAATTAATACAATGGTTTTAAAATCATCAATAAACATGGGAGAATAACGTTTAAAAAATATAAAAGTGAAACTAGCATACCATTTCTGTTTGAATTCTGCATTATGTATTAATGCATAAAAAAATCACAATTTCTTAAATCAATTGCCGAGAACACTAGCTAGTGAGCGTGCAATTTAACCCCAGACTTTAGTCTGGGTGTTTTGACAGTTGCAGCAGCTTAAATTTATTTAATGAGTTAAGATTGTTGCCGTTGGGTCACTTCATCTTCTTCAGGTTTTCCCAAGAGGCTTCCCAGAGGCTGTTACTGAGGTATGTACAATATTCTCTCAAATATTGAACTTTCCCTGTCTGTAGAATGTTTAATTTGTCCACCTTGTATGATTAATTAAATTGACTACGTTACAAATTTTCTGTGGCGTATATTTGTCAAAAAATTTGTTGCAATTTCAGGGTTCTTGTTAACTTTTGAAAAAGCAGGTAATTTGACAATGAATAGCAGGTAACTGTTTTTTCGGCACGGACGGTAGGGCGAGCGGCGAAGGCGCGAAGTGTTTTTTTTCACCACCATTTTTTATTAATTAGAAAAAATTTATGATTTGACCCACAAATAGCCTATTTTGATGGGTATGGGTTCTAGAATTTGGTAGTTTAGATAGGAAAATATATGCTATTAAGTACCTATTATTAGGTATCTATTATAAAAAGAAAAACCCGCCCGTGCACAGAGTTAGTCTTGGGTTGGAAGTATTTAAAATAAACTTCGTTTTTTAGATAGGAAAATATATGATATTAAGTATCTATTATAAAAAGAAAAACCCGCCCGTGCACAGAGTTAGTCTTGGGTTGGAAGTATTTAAAATAAACTTCGTTTTTTCAAATATGGATTAAATATTTTACCGCCTTTAGTGGGAGTTTCTCTTAAATTGATAGCCGGTAACAAATTGCGCGATAGGCGGTAAAAATAACCGGTTACCGGCTATTAACAAGAACCCTGCAATTTTTTTACATGAAAAGTAAGTACTAACAGGACTAAATGTATCCTCGAATTCCTACCTGATAAGATTGTTTGTCAACTAAAGTAAAACCTCGTTATGCCGCCACCATCGGGACTTGGGAAATATCGGCGTTATAACGAGGTATAGAAATTGCAGTCTGATATTACCACTAAATACCCCCCCCCCAGTTGCTAGAAAACCAATAAAAATAGATGATATGATTATAAACAAAGTTTTAATGACAACAAAAAATCATATTAACAAAATTTCTTTGTTTTATAACTGAATTTAAGTACTATTAAAATAAAAATATTATAGTTTCATGTTTGTTTTAGTGTTTTCGTTTGTCCGGAGTTTAGCACATGTACATGTACATTTAAGTTTGTGTATAGTATTTTGATAGTCCATGGTTAAATCTTTCTTAAAAAAAGTGTAAAATTTTCTGTTTAGAACATTCTGAAATGAGTGAATTCATGTGCGATTGTAGGAGGGACACGTCAGAAATGTCACATTTAGTAGAATATGCGTTCGACTCAAAATATCGCAATACAGTCTGAATTGACCTCTGAGCATCAAGTGATGATGGTGGCGGAATCTCTACCGCTAGTACTATACCACTAAATACTACTGCTATTACATAGGACTCGCGTGGATGTGCTGTGTGTATGTTACCATAGAAACTGAACAGCCGATACCGACCAACACTCGATGGCGGTATAAGTTAACGAGTGTATTTTCAATGCATTTATATAGGATTGTACATAGCTATAAGGCTGGCAGTTGGCGGTTAATGAGTGGCGGTATTACTAAGCTAAATGACGTACAAATAGATACAAACGATCTGTACATTGGCATTTTCCTGACGATAAGTGAGATTGGCGATATTACGAGGGGGTGGTATAACGAGGTTTTAGTGTAGTTAAAAATCCAAAAAACCTGGGCGATTTGGTATATTGATCATGACATGCTTGCTATGGCCTATGTATGAGTCATGAGTGTTTGTTCCCATCGAACGGAATAGTAAAATAGTAAGTATAATGCAGTAATTTAACCATAAAAAGTTAACAGAATCACTTACATTTTTTGAAAAAGTGGAAAAAATTTTCGCTTTTACTATTCACAATGACGTAATCACTTTAAAACAATCCGAATTGGTGTTCCTGTTGATGCCATGGAAATTTGATCTAGTACTATCTGAAGTTTACTGGATCTTATTATTTATATAAGTATTGGATATCATGCCACCAACAAAACAAATTAAATGTACTCGGTAAGATGTGACCTTAAACAGAAACTCCCATCAACATTAATTTTGTAAATGTTGGCAGATATGAATCATGTTATAATATTGTATATATTTTTGTTTGTGTTGTATTGTAGTTGGTAGTGTTCAAGAGGTACAATGATTTCAAGAAACTTCACAAAGTTCTTTCGACACTGCATAAAGATCTATACCTGAAAGGGGAATTTCCCAAGTTTGCAAAGGCAAAGCTATTTGGTAAGATAGACATTTTGTTGTTATTACATTATTTTGATATATATAATTTTTTCTTTTCTAGCAATTGCTTAAATTATATATAATATTTTGAACATTTTATATTTAGGCATAGTTGTTTGTGCACTCATCCATTTAAAGGGAGAGCTTACTCTAGGTTCTAGGGTTATTTTCAGCTAATTTAGGTTATAATTACGCTACATAAAAAGTTTCATGGTTCAGTCACCATTAGAAATGTATTTTTTAAATGTTTTAAAACTAACGACTACAGTTTGATTACAACGACGGTGGCAACGATTACAACGCCACTCAAAGCGCACGATCTGATAAGTTGCGCAAAACCACTTTCCAGCCAAGGGCTACAGACCGAGGGTGTTTCTTATTTATTAATTTAAAAGCAAAAGGATTGTAATATCTTATAAACGACACATAGTTTAATTTATAATATGGATAAATTTGCCCTAAAATGAATATCGTTCGGTTAAATAGCATTTAGGTATAAATATAATTGCACTTTTGTGATTAGCCCTCGGTCTGTAACGTGCAAAATAAATTGTCAAATACGCAACTTTTTCGGGGTGGCAGCACGGTCGCGGGTGTCATGGCGCCGTTCAAATTTCATAGCGTTGATGTGTAATTAATTATAACAATTAAATTAGGTATCTGGTAACAAATACGTGTGGGTATAGACGATTTGTTATACAGTAAGTACAGCTGTATGCAGTAAAGTCCTAGAGACTACTGTCCCTTTAATTGTTTTATTACTTAATATACATATAAAATATTTCACTTGGTCATCCGTGATACACAGATATGCATGTACAAATACACATCCCTATAACTATACTAATTTACTTGCCAACATTTGGCAATAGAATTGGTGTCAGGCAGTGCACAATGTAAACGGCGTTTCATGTTATTCATCAGGTCGCTTTGATGAGGAGGTGGTAGAAGAAAGGCGGCTATGTGCATTACAGATGTTGGAATTCATTGCTCAGCACTATCCGCTGTTTACCAGCAAGTCTTTCTTGGAATTTTTCGAGGTGTGTAGGGCACAGTATTTCCAGGCTGATAACGAATTCACATGTTTAGTAGTGCAATGCTTGGTTTTCTGCAATGAAAAAGGTGCTGTTTTTGGCAATGCTGTTCTTAGCACTCTCCTCTTTTAGGGTGCAGTGGCACTTGATCCTGGCCGAGAGATGAAGGCGTTACGAGACGAGATTTTGCAGCCGACTGTGATACAAGATGGTGTTGCTAGCCAAACGTCCGCCATTCATGAAGAAAACCATTCTTCTGCAAAGGGTGACACACATGTGATAGAAGCATCGCCAGGCGTTGACTCATCTTCAGCATCTGCCTCTAGAGATCCGTGCGATGGTGGTGTAGCCAAGTCGGGCTCGAAACCGAGGTAAAAAAAACGTTCTGTGTGACATTTCAGCATTGCATGGAATAAAATCATTACCAGCACCGCAACAACTGCGAGCGATTACGACGGCCTTTTTATTTCGATTCTCGTCGACTGTTGATGCCAATTTTTCATGCTCTTGCAGGGGTAGAAATTAACTATGGAACAGGGGAGTCCAACGTACTCCCTGCCCTCAAAAAGAGGGAGTCGCAGCAAAATGACGGAGTCCACAATCTGAAGTTCAAAACTAAAGATATTAACAATAACGCATGTGCTTATTTTGAAGATTCATGCAGTTGCACATCTACCAAATTTTCTTTGGACATTTGCTGGAAAAATCGCGAGGCCGTGCTCTGGAACGAACTAGTTGGTATATAGCAGAATTTTCATGGAGTCACACGGACCCCTGCATATGTCAAATCAGGGAGTCCGACAGTAAATCAGGGAGTATTGCCTCCGGACTCGCGTTAATTTCGCACCCTGCTCTTGCAGCGGACGTGAGCTCGCGGCGCAGGCGGAGAGTTTAACATCGCTCGGCGGCGTCTGGCAGTACCGGCAGACGGCCGACAACCTCAGTCTGAGCTCCGACGACAACGCCGACGTCGACGACGACGAGAACTCGTTCACGACGTTCACCGAGTCCGAGTCGGGCCTCAGCACGCCGCTGCCGAGCTCCGACATCTCACTGTTTGACCCGCTCGCGGATGCGTCACCCGTGGCGGCCGCGAGCAACGCGTGGCTGCTCTCGGCGATGGTCGCCTGCGCGCAGCTGGAGAAGCCTGAGCCGCAGCGGCGCCTCGACGCGCTGCAGTTCCCGAAGGCGTTCTCCGAGTACGAAGACGTCGAGACGCCGAAGGCCGAGGCGCCGCGAGAGTTTGCCGACGCCGACAGTCTGGACATGCAGGAGGCTGGCGGGGTTCCCGACGCGCCGTGGAGGGAGTCGTCTTCATCGTCGAGCATCCCTGCCCCTCAGCCGCGCGACCGTGGGTCGATGACTCTACCGGTGCGCAGTCCGCAGCGGGTCTTAGGCAGCAAGCCATCGACCCCTTGCCGCACTCCCACGTCGCCGGCCCCGCAGCCATTGCTGTCCCCAGAGGTGCTTGATATCAACGGGAAAGGTGAGCGAGTGAGATTGTTGCCGGGAGAATTGCGCTTGAAAACGTTGATTCAGTACGACGAATCGATTCGATCATTTCACTTTATTCCCAGTTGAAATTTGTGTAGTTTGGTAATGTGTGCTGTTTTTTTAAAATGTTACCCAGTTTGTAATGTTTCGAATCATTCTTGTATTACGTTTAGGTGATGCATCAAAAATCCGTCTGTTTTTTGCCACCCCTATAAAATTACACACTCAAGTGTACTAGAATAAATTTTTAATGTTTGTTTCCACGAATAGTCTGCTATCTGGTATGTGACGTGAGGTGTAAAAAGCAGGGGGTATTCATATTCTGAAGGTTGAAAGTGTTTATGGAGGTTTGCTGTATTTTGATTATGTAATGGAATGCGCAAGTAATGATTTTCTCAAACAATATTAGGCGCATACATCTACGAGGCAGCTAACCTAATAAGCTTAGCCCAGGAGAATGAGGCAGACGGCCAGTGTAGACTCTCATTCCAATATTACAAGATGGGAGTGTCGCTGCTGCTGAAAGGCGTGCAAGGTATTACTGCACTAATGCATCATTAGCAATGTTCCCGTGCATTGGTTTGCCATTAGATTAGCAGTGGTGAATGAATGAGAATTGTCGTTAGCATTATGCCATTTTCAGATTAATTGAATAGATTACGCACGTTGACCCGATACATGATTTCTGGATTAGAACACGTCGCTTGAATAATTAAACGGCACATGCGCTCGTAAAAAGTGTTGGTCTGCCATTTTCTCATTTCCAAGGCGATGGTGATGCAAGCAGGAGAGAAGCAGTAAGGAGAAAGACAGCACAGTATCTGATGAAGGCTGAAGACCTATATAATAACCACTTGTCTGCAACAGACACTGACAACCAGCGATGGGGAGTAAGTATTCATTACCCCTCACGCCACAATGAAGCAGGTGATGTTGAAATTAGACTGGCATAGTGCAGGACTTTCCACTGAGTTGTTGTCTGTATGCAAATGCAACCGACTAAGAAATAATTTGCCGAATTGCTGGTCAAATGTGGTTGTGTTTCTGTGTCAGCAGAGGTTCATAATGGCCAGGACACCAGTATTTTCATTTAAATACAGGTAGGATAATATCTTGTGCACGTGGTCATGCACTTGGTTTCGGCTATGTGACGTCTGTTGCATGCTTTTTATTTGTGTTTTACAGAATCAGTAAAGGCTAGAGCTGTTTCAGTTACATGTGCCAGGTCAGAATTAATGCATTTTAGTATGCTGTGTTAAAAACTCTATCACCATAATGTTCTGCAATAGGTTATACCATCAGCTAACAGCCTGCATTGTAAACATCATAATCCACAAATTCAGTGCACAAGGTCTTATATTGGTCTGGCCTTTGCTTTTTTTTGTATTCATACATGTTGCTATCAAAATGGTGTCGGTTGCAGGATTTCCTTCTCTGATAAAATGACGATACACTGATGTATATAATAGACACAGCCACTCGAAATGGTAGTAGTTTGTGAAACAGGACTTTACCTACACAAACACATTTTCACTCGCTAAATAGGCATGTTTAACGTATGCGCAGTGGAAAAATGCAGAGGAACTCGGATGTTCACTCGCTTCATTACTCCGTCACATACGTTGCGCTCGTCTAGCCTAATTAACTTTGTCGCAAACACCGACGCATTGCACTCCTTTGCCATTCACCGTGGTCACCGTGTACGATGTCTTTGTGCAGGAGGACAGCGAGACCTCCCCGTCACGACAGTACCAACAGCCGCAGCAGCTAGAGGATAACAGCCCAGCTCTCTTGGAGGGCCCCACAGTAGAGCTGGGCTACTACAAAGTGTTGGGCATCATCGACAAGGCGCTACTCGTCCTCGACTCGACCAGCGAACGCACGTTTGCGCTGAAGGTATGGAATTCGCGCGCGCTCTAATGCCGAGTCCGATCTCGTCCCCCAGCCACAACGATTGCTGCACGGGTCACCCACGTCAATTGCTGTTTGCTAGGTAAAATGTACTGTAGTTGTCCATGGTCGGTCCCCGCTTGAACCTATGCGTGCGTTAACTTACAGGGGCACGTTTTCAGAAAGAAAATTAGTCCAAAACATTACCCTGGACTAGAACTATTTCTCGTAGACCGTTAGACAGAATTTTGTCTCGTAAAGTTACGAGGAAGTTTAGACCAGCCAGCTCTCACAGACCGTGGTACATTTTTTCCAGGTGCTGAGCAAGACCAGCTCGCCGACGTCCAGCTACAGCATCGTGCCGACGACGGTGCCGCACATGGTCAAGCTCGTGCGCTTCTACGAGACGGACAACGCCATCTTCCTCGTGCTCGAGCTCGCTGCCGGCGGCAAGCTGTGGAGCTACGTCAGCTCCTACCTCAACCAGCAGGCAAGCGGCTTCCCGCACGACGACGACGACGACGACGTGTTCGCCGACGCGCACGAGCAGCGGCTACGACGGCCGGACGGCAGCGCGGCGGCGCACAGTGGCGCTCCCGCGGCTGCCGAGCGCGACCTGCTGCGCATCCCCGAGTGCGCGTCCGGCGGCTCGAGTCAGAGCTCGGTGGAGTCGAACGAGGCGTGCACGCGCGGCTACGCGGAGCTGTTCAAGAACTACGCTTCCAACGTCGGCCGCACGTTCCGCCGCATGTCCGGCGGCGAGCCCCCGCCGCCGGATCCGCGGGCAGGGGGCGCCAGCGGCGGTGGTGAGTGTGCGCCGTGCGTCGTCGCGGAGGAAGAGTCCGACGACGATGACGACGATGACGACGGCGGCGACGACTTTGACGACTTTGAGAGCGTGATAAGCGGCGCGAGGCCCTCGATGCACAACTTCAGCATCAACAGCGTCGACAGCGACCACGGCTTCCGGGAGAGGGCGCTGTCGAGCCTTGACGGCGAGCACAGCGTCCACGAGAGGGCGCTGTCGAGCGGCGGCGCGCTCGCGGACGCCTCGCTGGAGTCGCTGCGAGCCGCCAAGTCGCGTCCGTCGGACGGCCGCGTCCGCAAAAGCTGTGGACAGAGGCGTCGTCGTGTCGCCGGACGTGCTGGGCTCAAGCAGCTGCGACTCGCATGTAGTGTGCATCGTGAAGCACTCGCGAATCGGCGAGTCCTGCATAGATGACAATGGTGTCTCGCCACCCATGCGACTATGCGACTCATCCATAGCAGACAGCGTCGTACCACCCTCGCTATACTGTGAGTCTTCCGTAGCGCACAACGTCGTACAACCCACGCTATTCTGCGAGTCTTCTGTAGTGGACAGCGTCGTACCACCCTCGCTATTCTGTGAATCAGCTATAGCAGACAGCTTCGCACTATTCTGTGAGTCTTCCATAGCGCACAGCATCGTACCACCCATGCTATTCTGTGAGTCTTCCGTAGCGCACAACGTCGTACCACCCACGCTATACTGTGAGTCTTCCGTAGCGCACAACGTCGTACAACCCACGCTATTCTGCGAGTCTTCTGTAGTGGACAGCGTCGTACCACCCTCACTATTCTGTGAGTGTTCCGTAGCGCACAACTTCGTACCACTCACGCTATTCTGTGAATCAGCTATAGCAAGCCCAGCTTCCACTATTCTGTGAGCTATCCATAGCGCACAGCATCGTACCACCGCACTATCTGTGAGTCTTCCATACGCACAGCATCGTACCAACCCACACGCTATTCTGTGAGTCTTCCATAGCGCACAGCATGCGTACCACCCATGCTATTCTGTGAGCTCCATACGCCACAGCATCGTAGCCACCATGCTATTCTGTGAGTCTTCCGTAGCGCACACGTCGTACCACCCACGCTATTCTGTGAGTCTTCCGTAGCGCACAACGTCGTACCACCCTCGCTATACTGTGAGTCAGCTATAGCAGACAGCCTCGCGCTATTCTGCAAGTCTTCTGTAGTGGACAGTGTCGTAATATCCACGCTATTCTGCGAGTCATCTGTCCCAGACAGCGTCTCACCACCCACGCGACTATGTGAGTCTTCCGTACAAGACAGTGTCTCACCACCGACGCGACTATGTGAGTCTTCCGTACAAGACAGTGTCTCACCACCGACGCGACTATGTGAGTCTTCCGTACAAGACAGTGTCCTCACGCACCCACGCGACTATGTGAGTCTTCCGTACAAGACAGCGTCTCACCACCGACGCGACTATGTGAGTCTTCCGTACAAGACAGTGTCTCACCACCGACGCGACTATGTGAGTCATCTATACCTGCCAGCATCACACTACTCTGCGAGTCCCCCGCAGCTATCACCGCTGCGTCGTCGAGGCACCTCCGTGAGCCGTCCGCACCGCGCGCCGCCTCGTCTCGCTCGCGACTGCGCGAAGCCAATGGCGTCTCGTCGCCCCGGACAAGCCGAGACCTGCCGCGTCCGGCCTCGCGCCAGCCGTACGACTCGAGACCCGCCGAGTCCGGCCTCGCGTCCGCGTTCGTGTTCAGCGTCGCGTCGACGACGGACTCAGCAGCTCTCTCGGCGCTGCAGATCAACGCATCGACGTCCGACGACCCTGCGACCTCTGCCCCGACCTCCGCCGGGTCACCCCGGGTGCCGCGGCGCTGC